TCGCTCGTAGATTAGCCAAATAAAGGCGTACAGCAAAAAGACCGACTGTTTTGGAAAGCTTGCTACATTTGCTAACGATCCCAATCACTTTAAAGAACATTTATTTTTTGACAAAATTTTTCATTTTTTGTAAGGGGTAGGTCATCTATTTTGACGATTCAGATTTTGGTCAAAAATACTCTTTTTTAGTGGTTTTTCGCTCGTAGATTAGCCAAATCAAGGCATACAGCAAAAAGACCGACTGTTTTGGAAAGCTTGCTACATTTGCTAACGATTCCTATCACTTTAAAGAACATTTATTTTTTGACAAAATTTTTCATTTTTTGTAAGGGGGTAGGCATCTATTTTGGCGATTCAGATTTTGGTCAAAAATACGCTTTTTTTAGTGGTTTTTTGATCGTAGTTTCGCCAAATCAAGGCGTACAGCAAAAAGACCGACTGTTTTGGAAAGCTTGCTACATTTGCTAACGATCCCTATCACTTTAAAGAACATTTATTTTTTGACAAAATTTTTCATTTTTTGTAAGGGGGTAGGTCATCTATTTTAGCGATTCAGTTTTTGGTCAAAAATACGCTTTTTTTAGTGGTTTTTCGCTCGTAGATTAGCCAAATCAAGGCATACAGCAAAAAGACCGACTGTTTTGGAAAGCTTGCTACATTTGCTAACGATTCCTATCACTTTAAAGAACATTTATTTTTGACAACATTTTTCATTTTTTGTAAGGGGTAGGTCATCTATTTTGGCGATTCAGATTTTGGTCAAAAATACTCTTTTTTTAGTGGTTTTTCGCTCGTAGATTAGCCAAATCAAGTCATACAGCAAAAAGACCGACTGTTTTGGAAAGCTTGCTACATTTGCTAACGATCCCAATCACTTTAAAGAACAATTATTTTTTGACAAAATTTTTCATTTTTTGTAAGGGGGTAGGTCATCTATTTTGGCGATTCAGATTTTGGTCAAAAATACGCTTTTTTTAGTGGTTTTTGATCGTAGTTTCGCCAAATCAAGGCGTACAGCAAAAAGACCGACTGTTTTGGAAAGCTTGCTACATTTGCTAACGATCCCAATCACTTTAAAGAACATTTATTTTTTGACAAAATTTTTCATTTTTTGTAAGGGGGTAGGTCATCTATTTTGACGATTCAGATTTTGGTCAAAAATACTCTTTTTTTAGTGGTTTTTCGCTCGTAGATTAGCCAAATCAAGGCATACAGCAAAAAGACCGACTGTTTTGGAAAGCTTGCTACATTTGCTAACGATTCCTATCACTTTAAAGAACATTTATTTTTTGACAAAATTTTTCATTTTTTGTAAGGGGGTAGGCATCTATTTTGGCGATTCAGATTTTGGTCAAAAATACGCTTTTTTAGTGGTTTTTTGATCGTAGTTTCGCCAAATCAAGGCGTACAGCAAAAAGACCGACTGTTTTGGAAAGCTTGCTACATTTGCTAACGATCCCTATCACTTTAAAGAACATTTATTTTTTGACAAAATTTTTCATTTTTTGTAAGGGGGTAGGTCATCTATTTTAGCGATTCAGTTTTTGGTCAAAAATACGCTTTTTTTAGTGGTTTTTCGCTCGTAGATTAGCCAAATCAAGGCATACAGCAAAAAGACCGACTGTTTTGGAAAGCTTGCTACATTTGCTAACGATTCCTATCACTTTAAAGAACATTTATTTTTTGACAACATTTTTCATTTTTTGTAAGGGGGTAGGTCATCTATTTTGGCGATTCAGATTTTGGTCAAAAATACTCTTTTTTTAGTGGTTTTTCGCTCGTAGATTAGCCAAATCAAGTCATACAGCAAAAAGACCGACTGTTTTGGAAAGCTTGCTACATTTGCTAACGATCCCAATCACTTTAAAGAACAATTATTTTTTGACAAAATTTTTCATTTTTTGTAAGGGGTAGGTCATCTATTTTGGCGATTCAGATTTTGGTCAAAAATACGCTTTTTTTAGTGGTTTTTGATCGTAGTTTCGCCAAATCAAGGCGTACAGCAAAAAGACCGACTGTTTTGGAAAGCTTGCTACATTTGCTAACGATTCCTATCACTTTAAAGAACATTTATTTTTTGACAAAATTTTTCATTTTTTGTAAGGGGGTAGGTCATCTATTTTGGCGATTCAGATTTTGGTCAAAAATACGCTTTTTTTAGTGGTTTTTGATCGTAGTTTCGCCAAATCAAGGCGTACAGCAAAAAGACCGACTGTTTTGGAAAGCTTGCTACATTTGCTAACGATCCCTATCACTTTAAAGAACATTTATTTTTTGACAAAATTTTTCATTTTTTGTAAGGGGGTAGGTCATCTATTTTAGCGATTCAGTTTTTGGTCAAAAATACGCTTTTTTTAGTGGTTTTTCGCTCGTAGATTAGCCAAATAAAGGCGTACAGCAAAAAGACCGACTGTTTTGGAAAGCTTGCTACATTTGCTAACGATCCCAATCACTTTAAAGAACATTTATTTTTTGACAAAATTTTTCATTTTTTGTAAGGGGGTAGGTCATCTATTTTGACGATTCAGATTTTGGTCAAAAATACGCTTTTTTTAGTGGTTTTTTGATCGTAGTTTCGCCAAATCAAGGCGTACAGCAAAAGGACCGACTGTTTTGGAAAGCTTGCTACATTTGCTAACGATCCCTATCACTTTAAAGAACATTTATTTTTTGACAAAATTTTTCATTTTTTGTAAGGGGGTAGGCATCTATTTTGGCGATTCAGATTTTGGTCAAAAATACGCTTTTTTTAGTGGTTTTTTGATCGTAGTTTCGCCAAATCAAGGCGTACAGCAAAAAGACCGACTGTTTTGGAAAGCTTGCTACATTTGCTAACGATCCCTATCACTTTAAAGAACATTTATTTTTTGACAAAATTTTTCATTTTTTGTAAGGGGGTAGGTCATCTATTTTTGCGATTCAGATTTTGGTCAAAAATACGCTTTTTTAAGTGGTTTTTCGCTCGTAGATTAGCCAAATCAAGTCATACAGCAAAAAGACCGACTGTTTTGGAAAGCTTGCTACATTTGCTAACGATCCCAATCACTTTAAAGAACATTTATTTTTTGACAAAATTTTTCATTTTTTGTAAGGGGGTAGGTCATCTATTTTAGCGATTCAGATTTTGGTCAAAAATACTCTTTTTTTAGTGGTTTTTCGCTCGTAGATTAGCCAAATCAAGGCATACAGCAAAAAGACCGACTGTTTTGGAAAGCTTGCTACATTTGCTAACGATTCCTATCACTTTAAAGAACATTTATTTTTTGACAAAATTTTTCATTTTTTGTAAGGGGGTAGGTCATCTATTTTGACGATTCAGATTTTGGTCAAAAATACGCTTTTTTTAGTGGTTTTTTGATCGTAGTTTCGCCAAATCAAGGCGTACAGCAAAAAGACCGACTGTTTTGGAAAGCTTGCTACATTTGCTAACGATCCCTATCACTTTAAAGAACATTTATTTTTTGACAAAATTTTTCATTTTTTGTAAGGGGGTAGGCATCTATTTTGGCGATTCAGATTTTGGTCAAAAATACGCTTTTTTTAGTGGTTTTTTGATCGTAGTTTCGCCAAATCAAGGCGTACAGCAAAAAGACCGACTGTTTTGGAAAGCTTGCTACATTTGCTAACGATCCCTATCACTTTAAAGAACATTTATTTTTTGACAAAATTTTTCATTTTTTGTAAGGGGGTAGGTCATCTATTTTTGCGATTCAGATTTTGGTCAGAAATACGCTTTTTTTAGTGGTTTTTCGCTCGTAGATTAGCCAAATCAAGTCATACAGCAAAAAGACCGACTGTTTTGGAAAGCTTGCTACATTTGCTAACAATTCCTATCACTTTAAAGAACATTTATTTTTTGACAAAATTTTTCATTTTTTGTAAGGGGGTAGGTAGGTCATCTATTTTGGCGATTCAGATTTTGGTCAAAAAGACGCTTTTTTTAGTGGTTTTTCGCTCGTAGATTAGCCAAATCAAGTCATACAGCAAAAAGACCGACTGTTTTGGAAAGCTTGCTACATTTGCTAACGATCCCTGTCACTTTAAAGAACATTTATTTTTTGACAAAATTTTTCATTTTTTGTAAGGGGGTAGGCATCTATTTTAGCGATTCAGTTTTTGGTCAAAAATACGCTTTTTTTAGTGGTTTTTCGCTCGTAGATTAGCCAAATCAAGGCATACAGCAAAAAGACCGACTGTTTTGGAAAGCTTGCTACATTTGCTAACGATTCCTATCACTTTAAAGAACATTTATTTTTTGACAAAATTTTTCATTTTTTGTAAGGGGGTAGGTCACCTATTTTGGCGATTCAGATTTTGGTCAAAAATACGCTTTTTTTTAGTGGTTTTTTGCTCGTAGTTTCGCCAAATCAAGGCATACAGCAAAAAGACCGACTGTTTTGGAAAGCTTGCTATATTAGCTAACGATCCCTATCACTTTAAAGAACATTTATTTTTTGACAAAATTTTTCATTTTTTGTAAGGGGGTAGGTCATCTATTTTGGCGATTCAGATTTTGGTCAAAAATACGCTTTTTTTAGTGGTTTTTCGCTCGTAGATTAGCCAAATCAAGGCGTACAGCAAAATTACCGATTGTTTTGGATAACCACCAGCAACCTGGTAACTTTTTGGCACTCCCAACGTGGGCAATTTTCCACGCCCCCTTTTTCGCGTTTTATACCCCTAACTCCCCCCCCCCCACGCTGTCAATCATTTTCACAAACGATTTGTCAGCCAATGCCGCGATGCAAATAAGCCGAGACACCCCCCCAAACAATTTAGAGACTTTTTTGTCAGCTCTGGATCATCGTGATTTTTTACAACTTTTCATTTTTGCGCTTGAGCTGCTTTAACTGCCGAAATTGTCGCCCCAAGCTGAACAGGATTAGATGGATTCCGGATGCAGGATTCGCGATTTGGAAGCATATGTGCCGTTAAAAACCCGAAGGGCGGCGGTGGGGCAACTATTCAAATGAGAAGCTCACATCAAATGGCTTGGAAAATATGGCATCTTGCGTTGGCTTTTATTGGTACCCCCCTTTAAATATTCCCACCCCCAAGGCGTTTTTTCAGCACCCTTAGACGCGAGTAGATGATGTCCCAGTCGAGATAGGCGCCCACAATGTAGCGGGGATTCTGCTCGGAGTCGTCGTATCCAGTTCGCCCATGGAGCAGCCGGATGTTGTTGAAGGTCAGGACGTCGCCGGGTCGGGTCTTGAAGGCGTGGCTGTCGGCGATCGCCAGGCGGACGAAGCGGGCGTAGGACTCGTACCAGGGAAGGACCTCCTCCAAGGGTACGTTGAACTGGCTGTCCCGCTGCGGAACGCTGTGGTTCACCCGCGTGTACCGCCCCTCGGCGTCCAGGCTGTGGGGGATAAAAAAGGGGATAGTCAATCGAGGAGGAAAATCTTAGGGGTAACTAAGATAAAGAAATACCAATATGAACTTTATATTAGTTGCCTTTCATTAGCACAGAAATATTTTTGGATGAAATTCGGTTGGAATTCGTAATGCAATACCTATTCCACCCAAAGTAATTGCTGTGTCAATGGCAAATTAAATATTTAATGTAATATTAAACTTTCTTTTACTAGTGTGTGCTAATGTCGTTTGTGTATTGATTACGATTATCTTTTAAATTTTCTAGTGAAACATAATACAGTATACATCAAAAATATAAGGTTTGATATATCAAAAAGAAAAGTTTTGATATACTGACTTGACTTTTCATATAGTCTGTTAACCAAAAATAGAAAATAATCGCTTGATTTGAAGTTCATGGCTATTTTTGTAAATCTAAAAGAATAACCAAATAATTTTTTTAGATAAAGAAAAAAGATTTTAAATTCTAAAATTATGGTATACTTATTATTTTAGTTCTAGATCTAGAATATATATTTTGGGGACTCACCATATGACCGGTGCCCGCCAGATGTTGTGGAACTCCCTTCCGTCCTCGCTGCCGATGTCGTTCCAGTCGACGACCACGCGGCACAGACGCTCGAAGTCCTCGGGATGATCGCGTCGCAGGATGTCGGCGATGTGGAAGCCATCCACCAGCATGTTGCTGCCCCCCGGCGAATCCGTCTGGACGACGCAGTGCAGGATGTTGACACTCGGTTTGTACTCATAGTAGGGCAGATCCGTGTGGAGGGGCAGGGGCAGGGAGAGATAGGCGAAGTTCTGGGCCCCAGGCTTAGCCTGCACCACGAATTCCTCACCGTAGGTGGTGCGCCGGATGAAGCCCACCCGTTCCGCCAGCCGCCGAACCACCCCCTCATCCAGTGGGGCATTCCGCAGCAGGGCCACTCCATAAACGGCCAGGGCTTGGAGCCACTGCATCAGCACGGAGTCCTGGGACATCACCTCCTCGTAGATAAAATGCTGGGCAATCTCCTGGAACTCAGCACCCGACCAGTGTTTCGTCGCGGGTCTGTAGAATTCGCGCAGGTACTCCTTTTGTCTCTCTTCTTGGAAACTGCGCTCCTTTAGCCAGTGCAGGGAGAAGCTGCTCTCGTGGGAGTCACTCCACTTCACCTTTAACTCCTTGGTGACCTCATTTGCCTCTAGAGCCTCTGGTCGTATCCGGGTATCAAAGTTATCCCAGTCCAACTTACGGGATTTGGAGCTGCCATGGAAGCAGTCTTCGCACAAACAATTGTCACGCAGCCAAACACCGGGAAAAGTCAGGGGTTTACGATCACTCTCTTCCAGAACTTCTATATTAGTTTCATTTACAATCCTCGCACTGATTTGGCGGCTAAAGGTCTTCAGTTGTCCCGCGGAACGACTTAAAAATCTCTGCACCCACATGTTGGAATCTCAGAGTATTATTCTATCAGAGGTAGTGAAGCCCACTGGCCGAGCATCAAATGCCGAATGAAACGCCGGAGAAAGCGAAAATAATATAATCAGCCGCTAAACCGGGTCTTTGGACTTTGGCTGCCAGCTCATTTAAAACCGAACAGGGGCGTAGGCTCTACTTAAATAGATTTATTATTCTATATCATTTTTTGTAAAGCTTACATTAAAAAGCCTTGAATACACATTACAATAATTAGATTTATTGTTTATTTTAATCTTGTAAAAAAGTTAAGATTTTCTTAGGTCTAAAATAAGAAAGAAAATATAGATGATCGTAATATATATAATAATATCATGTTCTATGGTAATATATTTATATAGTAATAGTATTTTATTGTTATAATATTATTCTATACCATAAAATGATATTTCTCTTAAGAACCATCATATTTCATTTTCTTTTATATTTCATATAGATGACAGTTAGCTTCCCCCTTAAAATAACTAAGCATACGCCTCTGGATGAGAGCGAAGTGTTATCACCGAACTAGTTCTCCTGACAGAGCACATCTGCGACAGTCTGTTTGTTAATTTTAGCTTTTAAAATGTAGACACCCCGGGTGTGGAGAACATAGATAAGGAAGTTTATCGGTGCTAGCTTTTTTGTTTACCTCAGCTACAAGATAATACGATCGCAATATAAAATAGTAAACTATACCAAAAGGTATTTTTTAAAGAGCAACTAAAAATATTTTTTAAAATTTATGTACTTCTTATTTTGTACATAAAGAACACATATTTTGTCTAGCTTAAATAATAAATTATTATTAAATTTTATGTTTGTTATAAAATGGAAAGATATTAAAATATAAACTGTTACAGCCTGGGCACTTTATTTAATTTTTAATAGAACTCTTACATTGACGACTCTATTTGCCCAGATTGTGAGACAATTACTTAATTTGCCCTGTTCTGGGGCAATTCAGCTAATTTGAAGTTGCAAGTCAATCGCAGTCGCTGTTTGTATATTTTTGCAGAAGTGCCAGGCATCCGGTGGCTGAATTAGCATCTTGCAGATGAATCTCGAATGACCACCCATCATCGATTTGCTTGACGTCACCGGCCGAGCAGCCAGTTTCCCCAACGGTTGCTGTTGGCTGTTTGCTCTGGCGGAGCGGTCAATCAATCAATCAATCAATCAATCAATCAATCAATTGAATCATCTTTGTCCGCCTGCGGGTCTCTGTGGCCCATTCCCATTCCCAAACTCAACCACAAACGGAGCCCGGTCCAAAAGCCTTTAAAGGGCCTTGCCCAATTCTCGTGAAAGCAATAAAAATTGCAGCACCTTCTGCGGGCAAAGCTGACCTGTTGCACAATTGAATGGGAGCAGTTGCAGCTCGAAAGGGCAGCAGTGGCAGCTACACTGGGAAAAAGGAAGCAGTATATTTTATATTTATTTTTAATATATGCAAGTATCTTAAAAATTACCTGAGACCAGAACTTTTGTATTTAATGTAAATTTTTTGAATACCATTACCTATAGCCTATAGCTACAATGAAAAGCATAGGCTATAGGTAATTTCTCAATTGCCTTTTAGCCTACTTTTAAGACATATGTTTATATTTTTAAAAAATAGACTAAGAATATTTAACAATATATTTCTTAATATTCTGAATTTATTAAAAATAGATGATACAACATTTAATAAAATCAAACTATAAAAATATATTTAATGGTAAATTATTTACTTTTTTCCTGGAATTATATTACATTGTTAATTAATTATATGAAATATTAATAGATTAAGTTGCACGTGTATTATTGTTTAATTCACTCTAAGAAAATTCTTCCTAAATCTAAATTTTGAGCTTATGGGGAAATTTTCTTTTAGTTATCTTAACCAAACAAAAATGTATTAAAATTAAAAAAGGGCTGTGCTAAAAAAACAAGTTTCTTAAATAAAAAAAATCGCTATAAACTCAAAATTTCTTAAATTCAAGTGGAATATTTTGTTATAAGTTGTACTATATCAAATACGTTTAAAATTTTAAAAGGTAGCTATGGACTTAAATATAAAGATTGTTAGTTTTGAATGGTGCTTTCTATATGTTGATTATTTTTACCATTCTTTTAATGTGGGCCTTGAGTAAATAATACATTTCCGTGTGATATTTATCTCCCTCGATTTGTTTTTGCCCGATCTTTTGCGGGGGCTTTACTTAGCCAGTGGTAAATTGTTACAAACGATAAGCGATAAATGAGTTAGTTTTCGAGTGCAGGTGCAGCCGAATCGGTCGGCGGTGACCAGTGGTCGGTGGATTCTGGGCGAATGCCCAAATGTCTGCCTGCCCTGACCATTTTTAGCGCGGACAATAAATTCTTCATGCCAGGCTGCCTCCGCATTTGCAGCCGGAGGCTCTTGGATGTTGAATGTTGGATGTTGAATGTTGCAGAAATTCCCAAGCCGGCGGCCATAAAAATGCGGCTCACATGTGACAACGATTTGTACTTTAGCCCCTTTTATGGCACTCGACTGTTGTCCCTCCTCCACCGTCGAATGTTGCATTTTAAAAGCAACTCAGGTCCGCGTTTTCGCATTCGCATTCGTATTCGGAGATCCCCTGGCTCCTGGTTCCTGGCTCCTCCGCTCGGCTTCACAAATCTCAAAATCGCATCAGATTATACGAGTTATGCGATGCAACGATGGAGCCCCAGCAACAGGCTCCCATTTTGGTCATCTGCCGTTTGTCGTTTGTCGTTTGTCGTCGTTTTGTAGGTCAACGCCTCCTTTGAACCAGAAGCTATGGGTCCCCAAAACCACCCATTGGTCCAATCTTAAATCCCAATCCCCCAATCCGTATATATAAGCCCCCCTGCAATTGGGTCAATTAACACTGACGACCCTTGAGGTTGATATCGCCGGATATGAGCATGTCCTTCAGCTTTATGAGGCCCCTTTCGATATGGTGAGTGATTCGAGCCGGCGATGATTATCATGTCACATGGCCCCAAAACACAATGCTCGGACCACTTGAGGCGAATCCTTGTTCCGGCTCCTTGTCCAAAATGTTAACAGTTTTCATTTCATGTAATTAAGTGCTGCTGATCCACTAGTTTTTATCTTTAAGACCGAACCACCGGATGAAAGGACTGGAGAGCAGTGAAAGCTTTTTGGCTTTCCACGCTGCGAAAGGAAAACAATGGGGTAAATAAGGAAAATGGGGGGCTGTCGAATGGATTAGGATGGGATAAGGATGGATCCGGACGGGTTCCGCCGGCTGTGCGGACGGGTCTGTGTTTGCAAACTGTCTGGGCGAGACAACGTTGTACGTGCGGATGATGTCCGCCGGTCCGAGATCCGGCGATTTGATACCCGTCGACCAACGGGGTATGCTATATGTGTATATCCTGTAGATTGCTGTTCGTGACAGGACTAGGGACAGGATTGTACTGGACTGTACCTCTAGGATCTGTTAAAATTAAAATCAGATTCCAGAATTAAATTGATCTAAAGAGTCTAGGAAACCTGACCAACAGATTGGCTACTTAACTAGGTGATTAACTTACTATTATTGCTATTAACTAACTACTAAATACTTATTTTGACATCATAGATAAGACAATTTGTTCTAATTTTGGTAATAACATATATATCAAGCTATCATTTTATTTTTGTGACATTTTTAACAAGTACCTATTACCTATTTGAGAGAAGTTTATTTAAACTCAGGGGTTATCCCCTTACAATGACAAAGATCTCATTACATAAATAAACAAACAAAAAATTTAAAAAAGAAACAATTGAACAAGAAATATAAATAAATAAATAAATTAGAAAAAAAATAAATAAAAAAGTAAAAACAAAACAAAAAAAAAAAAAAATAAAAAAAAAATAAAAAATAAGAAACATAAATAAATAAGAAACATAAATAAATAAGAAAAAGAAATAATTAAGGAAAATAAAGACATTCATAAAAAAAAAAAATAAAACCCTCTCTTTAAGTACTGGGTATCTCGAGGTCTGTCATCCTCCCAGAGCTCCTTCCTTCTGGTTTCTTCTGCCTTTGCTGATTGCACTTCAGCCCGGACAAGGACTGAGAACTGAGGACCCAGGACTGAGGAGCAAGGACTAAGCCCGGAGCGGACCAAAAAATGTGTTAAGAGTCTAAACACGAACGTGCCGCTCAAAGGCCACTCGTTAACAGGCGCCACTCGGGAAGGAGGTTTGAAGTTCGAACGGGGGCATCGGTATCGGTATTGGTAGTGGTATTGCTACTGCTATTGCCATCGCCATGGACAGCAGCTATTGGTAAATATTTTCACTATTTGCGACAGGCCAAGATGCAGCCAGAGCCACATCTACATCCGCATCCACCCACTCCGAGTCCCCAAAATGGAGTCCCCGGGGAAGGGCGCCCAACTAGCTCCATATATCTTATTTTTTCCGGCGGGAACAAGCCTTCTTTTTCTGCAGGTGGCATCTGCAACATCCTCCAAGATGGCAATGTCTGCAGCCATTTCATTTGGCTGCTTATTTTATTGCCCCAGAGCCCAGTCAGACAGACAGACAGACAGACGGTTGGCAAACAAACAAACACTGGGTTAGGCCAGATTCTGGCCAACCTATATACATATACCATATATATATACTTTCTTATTTTCGGGCTTCAATGGAGTCTTCATTACGAATGCGGCAGGGAAAAGGAAATGCAATTCATTGCCCAAGACATTCGGACTGGCAAGCAGGATATCCATATACAACCTCCCAGCTTGGCAGTCATCCTGGCATCCTGGCAGAGATCCTTGCAGGCATCCTTGCAGGTGAGCTGCAGCAAGTGGCGCATTCCGAAAGGATTCCCCATACTCCTGCGAGAAACAAAATAAGAAATCCGTGGCAGGGACCCCAGGTGAGTGAAAAAGAATGAACTCAAGGAACGCCAAAGGTTTACGGAATGCGCGTAGCCTTAAAAGCGAGTGAGTTGGGGGATATTTATATAACCCATCCATCGAAACTAAGTTACTTTCTATGCTCTAAGTTTTGAATTTAAATATTTAATATCGCTTAATCTATAAAAT